CCGCTCCGCTCCCGCCGCCCGTGACGTCAGGGCCCAGCGCGGCGCCCTGTTGGCTGAGCGCGAGCGTGGCCGGTTCAAACGGAGCCGAGTCAACGGCGCGGGGGGCGCGCGCGCGTGGGGCGGGGGGGGGCGCGCGCCGTGCCTGTGGCCGTGGGCGGCCAGGCCGTCACCTCGTCCCTCTCGGCAGGGGTTGGGCTGAGGCGGGTCTTGGCCGCTGGCGTTTCTGTCAGAGGTGGAAACACTTGATCTCTCTGGTTTGGGGGGTGGGGGGCTTATTCCTGTTTGGTTGGGGTTTGGTTTGCGTTTTCTTCCCCCAGAAAAAGGTTCTTAAGCGACCAGACCGCTCGGTTGTTTTTTTTTGGTGCGGCTTTCTTCTTCTTCATACCCCAAGCACCGCGTGGATTTCTGAAAGCTCCTCACCGGCGTGTGCTCTCCCACCGACGGCGGGGAAAGCTCCCCAGCACGGCGAGGGCCTGGGGAGGCCCCGGGCCCGGCGGGGCAGAGGGCGAAGCGGTGGGCTGGCAGGCCCAGCTCCGGGCGGCTGGCGAGGCCCAGCTCCTCACGCGGCGTGGCCTTGTGCGAGACGTGGGCCGAGAGGAGGCTCGGCGGGCGATTCTCCCTCTTGAGCTGTTTACGCCGGCACGCGTGGTAGCGCCCGATGTAATTACTGCAGCACTGAGGGATGCCGCCCAACCCTCCCTGCTAATAATTGTTTTTATTATTCTTTCTGCTAGAGTTGTTTTTCTTCTCGAATTGCCTGAGCCAGTCATCTGATAGTTCGGGGCTGGTCGTAGACAGCAGGGCTGGCGCTGGACCAGCCACCGTTGTTTCACACGCAGGCTTGGGCGCATATCTAGAATCTGATCTCCCGTGGAAACGCTCGGTGGGTACATCTAGCCGCCTCACCTACACCCAGGAGCAACTGAGGGTTGCCGTCTTTGCGGCCTTCCCCCACGTAAATGTATTTTTCCCATCCTGTTTCTCTTTCTACTCGAATTGGCACGTTTTAGTATTTACCCCGCTGTCTCCAGGCATTCATTAATTTTATTTTTATTATTGAACTTATTTATTTAATGGCTCTGAACATGTAGCAGAAGGCTTCGCTGGTTTCCATGGTGATTAATGTGGGAAAAGCCTTTTTGGAAGTAAGCATGCCAGTCTAGGTAGGTGGGCAGGGCAAATGAATTTGGAAACATGCACATACTCAAGAATATAAGGAATATATTCACATTCGCTCACCATTTGAGGACAAGCACTGTCATCCATCCTAAAAACGCAATAACTTTAAAAAGATTTGTAGCTACTCGTCATCTTTATTGCTTGCCTACTAAATTCCTTCTTGGTTTCCAAATCTTAACAGATCTGCTGTATAGTTTATCTTCCTTATTTTAATTTAGCTTTTTCTCTTAAGTGACAACTTGAAAAGTCAGTCCTTTTCCTCCCTGCCAAGTCTGCTTTGCTCTTAGTCTCACTCCTGTATCTTAGCTGTATTCCACAACATTTAGAGCATGCAGGTGTTGCAGCAGATCTGATACCTGTTTACTCTGAGTTTTTCCTTAGTTACAGCGCCCTGCATGCCTTGGACACCGAAGAACTCCCAGGCGGCATGAGCTTTGAACCCGGTGGTCCAACCTGCTGCAGTACCACATTAGGATGTTAGTGTGTAACACTAGAGGAGGGTGAGGGACAAGTTTTGTCAAGTCTTGTTCAAAACTAACATCTTTACAAAAGTTTATCAAAAGCAGGAGGTAGGAGTTCATAAGCTAACACTGTATAATAAATATGATAACCTTTTTCAAGGCTATGACCACCTTCTAATAACTTGTTTAATATTTACAGCTAAGAACAACACCAGCAAGCCTGCAAATAAGTATGCATGAAAAACAAAGTATCGAATCTCATTCTGTTTCTGTGCTAATCTGTTTTCCCACCTTACTCAAATGTTTGCTGAGGCTTGTAGAAGTATATGTCCATTAATCTTGGCAAAATGTACATAGTTAATTGAGCTCTAGTCACAGATTCAATCTGTTGTGAAAACAATCCCTGATCTTTTTGTTTGTCTGGGTTTTGGGGTTTTTTTGACATCAGAACTTAGATCTATCCTGTCATTAGAACTAAGAAACGCAGGAATTTAGAAACAGTCTAATAGCATTAAGGAAAACTGTACTAGCTAGGAATGCTCTCTCTTCTCC